CTACTACAGACACTCGAATCTCCACTACAACCCCAACACCTTCCCCTCTCCCTCCCCGCAACAGACAGAACAAATGTTCCACCTCCTCTTCCTCTACCACACAATCACCTCCACCTTCCTTTGCCCCTACTCTTGAGACACCAGTCTTCTCCCCCCCCCCCCCCCCCTCACAAGAAATCCTTTCTCACAAAACTCCCCAACCAACTCCATTGAAGAAACTCTTGAAAATATTCAAGACTACTTAATGAAAACTGACACTCATCAACCTTCAAATCCCACAACTACTGCTCCCTCCACACACCACGTGACTGCCGATATCCATCCTCCTCCTAACGATATCCCCCCTACACCCTATCCTCCTACCACCTCCTAACACAGCCCATTGCTCATTTGTTTTGCTTTTAACCATTAACCATTTTCCTGAGTTTTATATTTTCATGTAGGCTATTGTGATTTCCTAAAGTCTGTTATGGATAATAACCATGGCTAAATATGTGATGGTCTGAACTATATAAAGCAATGGAAACCTTACAAAAGAATAAAACACAAAAAAGTTCATAATCTTATTTTCCAAGCTATTAACAAAGTAAAAACAAGCTTCCCTAGCCAGTGGTAATTAAATTCTTACTTGATGTGCTGGACATCAGTCATATAGCATAAGTTTAGAGGTCGATACGGCAGAAAAATTTCAGTATATAAATGTGTGGCAAAAAGAGTGCAACTGAGTTAACTCTTAGGATAAGATGTTAGACGTATAAGGTTGTGGAATGCTGTAAGATGGAATGGTAGATGAAAAGGGTATAGAGGAGCAGCAAATAGAATATGGTGGGAATTTGTAAAAGAAGGGGTGAAGGATACAGGGCAATCAGATCGAGTGGAGAGTGTGTGTCTGTGGAAGGAAGGGTAACATTGTATAAGGAAAACTGTAGAGCCATTAGGAAACAGTCAAAGGGCAATGTGGGTAGACATGGTAGTCATAGAAGTAGGAGAATAATCCAGTGAATGAAATATGGGAATGGGAAGGTGGTGAACTATCTGGAGAGGTACATTGTTGTGATATAAGGGAGTCATGTGAGCATCTGGGTGGGAGTGGTAATGGGGAAGAAAGGGAATGGTGATGCACATAGAGGATGGGGTACTTTTTGGGAGAGTGGGAGGAAGAGGGGTAGGAGGAACGTGAGGAGGTGGAGAAGGATGGATATTGAGAAATACTTTGAATGTAGAGCAAATAGAAAGAGAGGGTGTATGAAGGAGTGGACCATTCTCTTGGTCATGTTCAGAAAGTGTTCAAGAGTTTCTGGATAGGAGTTGGGTGTGAATGATCATGAGCCTGAAAAAATGGGGAGAAGAAATGGTTAAAAAGTTTTCATACTTTCTTTATTAAAGTAATATATATTTATATTGCAGATAACAGCATCCCTTTCATTGGCATATTACACTGGATAACAGATTTGATATGTTGCAATTTTTAAAAATCTTCCTCTTGGAGTAATGCTGAAACTTAAAATATTTAAAAATTTTGGTAAACTTTATACTTAACCTTTCTATTTGAACAAAAGTAGAGGCATAGCGTACACCTAAATATATATGACTTTACGCTTATGCTAAACCAATTGTGTGGTTTACAACCCCAAAGTTTTCCTCTCTTTTGTACTGTAAAGACTACACTGATCCATAGGTACCTACTTAAAATCATGCAGTTGCTACAAGTACAGTACCATTTTGAATTAATTACATTAATAATTTAGTTATATTCCATTTGTTACAATGTTCATTATTGGTGGGCGACAGGTTTGGCAGAATTTGAATTATGTGTCAAATCAACCAAGGCCAGTTGATATCTATGCAACATATAAAGATTAATAGTAGCTGACAGGTCTATGGGCGCCAGGGCCTGTCTGTTTCATTTTGCTCATAAATTACCCCAGGTGCAAGGAATGGCTGAGGTTACCATCCACTGGCAGCATGCGGGAATTGAATGTGGGTCAGCAATATTGCTAGATGAAACCGCTACCACTGTACCACACAGCACACTGACTTCTAAAAGCAGATCTCTGATCTATGGAATGCCAAATTCAACTTAAGCTATCAAATTTGAGCTCTAAGTGGTAAAGACAATAGGATATATGACCTTTTAATTTGTGCCTTTTTCAGATTCTAATTTTGTGCAAGTACTAATTCTGCATTGTTATAACCAATATCTGCTGATGACAAAAACTTTTATCACTGAACAAGATATTAAAATCTAGGAACAATGTATCATTTAAAAATTTACCAGACAAATGTTCATATTTTTTTTTCTTATAAAAACAAACATCAAAGAACAGTATAAGTATAGCTTAATAATAATAATAATAAAAAATACATTTCATAACCCTAATGATAAACTGAATTCCACTGGAAACATGTAAGATGCTGGAAACAGGTAATAGAGTTGAATGTATGTAATACAACTTCAAAACTAAGTACATTAACAAATATATACTAGACCAACTAGTAATACTGCATTCACTTAGCAATACCTTTCTCTTTGGGCAGGTTTAGAAGACAAGTAACAAAATGTACAAGATGAAGTCAAACATATATATTACACTTTATAAAAACTAACCTATTCTTTACAGCCAAAGCAAACAGGCTTTAAATGCAAACATAATCTGAACACAAAAAAACAAAACAAAAAAATACATAGTTAATATCACTTAAAATAAAAGCAAACAATTAATATCTGTGTAAGTATTTGAGTGTCTCAAATACAATATATATGTATAAATACAGTACCTATTTATCAAGATAAAAAGGAGGAAAGAAAGAAAAACAAGAGAAAGAAGGCAAACTAAGGAAAACAGGGAAAAGAACCAAAGAAATATAAAAGTACTTAACCCAAATGCTGCCGGGTAAATGCTGTGCTCATTTTTTATTTATTTATTTATTTATTTATTTTTTTTTTTTGGTGAAATATCTGCACATGGGTAGTTCTACAAATGCTTAGCTACAAAGGAGTCAATTAGTAGACCTAGTGACCTTGTCTAATTTCAATATCGATGGTGTTATTTTTATTATAGACATTATAATTACTAGACATTAGTAACCGCAATATAAGATAACGTAAAATATTTTCGAAAATCAAGGAAAGGGGGGTAAACAGGCGAGATGGCAGTCTTTGTAAGTGGCTCATTGGTGACTTAGTACAAGTGTAGTCATCTATGTGTAAAAACAATAAAGTAAACTCACAGTGGGCATGGCTTATACATACATGCCATACCCTTCAGAACTGGGTTAAAGATCTCTACTGTACACAAAATTTAGTGCATAGGTTGTTTGGTAAACAGGTGAGACAGGCAGTACTAGTAACTGGCTCACAGGTGACTTAGTACAAGTGTAGCCATCTATGTGTAAAAACAACTATTAAAGTAAACTCACAGTGGCAGCACTGGGTTAAAGAACAAAGACGGAAAAAGGGACTAAGATAAAGAGAGAGAGCAAGAGATCTTGACAGGAAAGCAAATCACAGAATGAAATAACATATTTACAGAAAAATGTATGTACTTAGCTATCATAGGGAAAAAATTTAAATGGATTGACTGGTAGATGGCTGTTTAACATATGAAATGTTAAATATTCCTTATGTCTTGTAAATTGAATGAAGCTTTAATGCTCACAGTGCAAGAATGTTAAATACCATCGAGTGTATACCTTAGAAAAATAACAAGGGCTTCAGCAAAATTACTTTTATGTATATATATAATTTTTAATCTACCTATATTTCTTTGTTATAAAATATAAACCATATTATTATACTGGTTTGTTTTACTTGTGTGTGCATTTGCACCAGTCATTATTTCACAAATTTTAAACACAAACAAACAAACAAAAACAAAAACTGACACACATTGACGCACATACATGCACAGACGCGTGCGCACGCACTGAAGCGCGCGCGCGCGCACACACACAGACACACACAGACACACACACACACACACTGACGCACACACACACACACTGACGCGCACACACACACACACACTGACGCGCACACACACACACACACTGACACGCACACACACACACACTGACGCGCACACACACACACACACAAAATCCATCCATTTATTCATTCATTCACCCACCTACCCATGTGTGATTGGTACAATTGGGATTGCTTATGTTTTCCTCATACTGAAAATATTGGCCATAGCAACATGGCATCTGACCAAAAGGCAATAAACTAGTCACTGATTAGGTCGTAATGGTTAAAGGCTGCAGTAGCCATTGAAATGTGATTTTTCAATAAGGAATAAGGTTTGGGGCCACTGCTACTGATGCACCTAAAGAGTACTCCAACTTCTTCAGTGTGGATACAGGAGGCCCAATCCCCTTTCGATAGTGCCACTCACAGATAACATGTTATTGAACCAAAGGTCGTCACTTGATGTCTAACCTACAAACTAGTAATAATATTATACAATATCAAAAAGCTTTAATACCTTTAATTCTGCAGTTTTATAACAACAGATATTTTTTTCATGCACCCCCCCCCCCCCTACACACACACACACTTGTATGTCTGCAAGCACACGTGCACCCCCCCCTCTCTCTCAAACACACACACACACACACACACACACACACACACACACACACACACACACACAAAAGATTCCCGGAAAAAAACAACCAAACTTGAAAACATACATATATAATTGACTATAATGAATGAAGCCTTTTGTCTTTAGAAATGATGAAAGTCAATGATACATGTTCCTTTATATTGTGCTTTTCTAATGCTGTCTGCATGATCATAAACAACAATTATTTACACCTAGTACCCAATTGGGCTTGACGGATGTGGCTCAAGTGCACTTTTGACTCTTACTGCCTATATAAATAAAGGTGATAATACAGTTAAAATAAAGAAAATGAAGGAAAGAAAGAAAGATCAAAAGAAAATAACCTAATATACACAGATTTCAGAGAACTTTTTATCAGTTGAACTTCTGAAAAGTTATATACATAGGTTTCAAATTGACTGGTCTGACATGTGTCATTATTTATGGTGATGTTGACCATGAGAATATCTTCCATCTTTATTATATTCTCTTACTCTTATGGTAAATACCACCCACACTGTTATAGTATAATAACGACTTCAAAACTTTGCCTACAAGTTTCCTCCCGAAAAGGATGTCAGGATTCTGCAATTAATTCAGGGAAATGATGGTTTTCATAAAATTTCATGGGAAAACCTCCTGGAACAACCACCCCTCCATGCTGATACTCTGGCTTAAGGTGGAGGCTGTCGTACCTGAACCAACATCTAGCACATTGACAGGATTGGGGCAAAGGGAAAAATGGACTTACTGTCATTATGCCTACAGAATCATCATCAAATGCAAGCAGTTAAGTTCCTTTGGGCCTTTTACTGATGTTCTGTACTAAATATGTTGCAAGCAAATATCAAAACGTGTGCACATATACGGACACATTCACACTCTCTGATCACAATATGAAAATAAAGTAAGAAAGTAAGAAAAAGTAAGTAAAAAATGGCAAAAAATGAGTAATTGTATGGTAGATAACAGTCATACTAATAGTTATAATAAGAGCAATAATAATGATAATAATAATAATAATAATAACAGAAGCACATTCATAATTGTAAGAGTAATAATCAATATTAATGACCAAAATGCTGTTGATAGTGAATAATAACCATAAAATATTCAAGAAGATAAAGAAGTGTAACATCTCACAACCATCCATAGACATTTACATTATATACAGTCCTTAAATAGTTTGAGTCCATCTACAAATCTGAATTACTAAAACCATCACTAAGCATAATTATGCAAGGTCATTCTAAAAAGAAACTGAACTTAAAAAATGTAGATGCAAAAAATATTATTTCCTTACAAAGAGTACTTTTAGTGGGATAGTGTTTGTCTTTTCATCTTTGGGAATTTTTGGAACATATGGTTCATAAGGATTTTCACTTGGTCTCTGACAAACAAACAAACAAAAAACTTGACAATGCATTTGCTCATGTGCCAATCCTTACTCGGGATAAAGGTCCTAATGGCTGATTTCAGACAATGAAAGAGATACAAGAAAAACTGTAAAAGACCTGAGCTGAAGCCTTCATAAAGTGCTCCAGAACTGGAAAAAATGGACGCAGTATATCAACACTTAAGGGACTAATCAGAAGCAGGCAAAGCAATAAATATTTTCCCCTAAGTTTGGTTTCTTTCTGGACTGACCTTGTATATATATATACCCACAAAGTATATACATATATATATGTATACAAGTGTATATATATATTATCTATAATCATCTGCCTCTATTTAAATAGTAATTCATTTAAATTTCTCTAGTAATGCAAAAGACTAAAGACATGGGGAAAAATATAAAAATACTTATCAACACTTAATAGAGGGATCAGAATTTTGAAGATTATTTTTGTGCAAAGTATGTAAGTGTTTTAGAGCTCTCTGGGTGATGTTCAGTGCTGGGTCTATGGTCCGAAGTTCATCTTGTTCAAGAAGTGCTAATCCACTAATGCCAAGGTAGGTGTGCAGGCCATCGGGGGGAGTGTCGGGGTATTTGGCTAGTCCGCCTGTAATTGGATCTTGTGTTGAGAGTACAAACTGCCTCAGTGCGCTGATGTCTAGGAGGTCCAAGCACCCAAGCAACTGTGAAAGTAAAGTCTTTATTAATTTTATATAGTATTGCTTCAAGCAAATAAAAAACAACTGTGTAAGTTTTTATTTCTGCAACTGGTATATAGAAAACAGTCCAGTATGCAACTCATCATGATGAGAAAAAAAGGGGGAGACTTTAACCCAATGCCGCCGGGGAGAATTAATAAAAAATGGGGAAAATGCTGTGAAATGTCTTTATACATAGATAGCTCTGCAAGAGCTTAGGATTTAATTAGTAGACCTTGTGACCTTACCTGATTTGAATTGGCGGGAAAAATGTATTTTTTACTAGTGCTATGAATATTGATGGTGTTATTTTTATTATAAACATTATAATTACTATAATGTTACAAACATTAGTAACAGCAAAATAAGATAACGTAAAATATTTTCGTAAATAAAAGAAAAGGGTAAACGGGCATTGGCGACATTGGGTTAAATACAGTCAACAGTGATTCATTTGCAAAACAGTTTCCAGAAAAAAAGAAGCTTTATGCCTTATGAAGAAAGGTTTCTTACCTTAAGTGAAGCTCCTATCCAAAAAGTGTAACAGGTATCTGCTCGCTTGTTCGGCCGACCTTGAAAGCCTCCTTCGGTCAAACGGCTAACTAACCACCTGACTAATCTCTGACGCTGCAATAGGAAGAATGAAGCAATTTTTAATAAATTCATGAGACCAATGACTGCAGATTTTTGTACTAACCTTTGTAGTTTTTGTGAATTTTGTTACTTACCAAAGGATCAATCGGAAGGCCCTAGTGATCATAATTTCCCCATTCCTTGAATTAATATAAATATAAATTATATATATATATATATATATATATATATATATATATATATATATATATAAATTATATATATATATATATATATGAATATAAATTATATATATATATGTATGTATGTATGCTTATATGTATATGTATATGTATTTATATATGTATCTTTATGTACAAATACATGTATACATATATTATATATATATATATATATATATATATGTAGCTAAGCACATATTATGTATATGTATATGTATTTATGTATGTATCTTTATGTACAAATACATGTATACATATATATTATATATATATATATGTAGCTAAGCACATATGCTTATGGTATGTATGTATGTATGCATATATGAGTGTGTGAAAAAGAAGCATTACCAACATAATAAAGCAGAGGAGATATAATGAACAAGAAAATATATAGAAGTAGTAGTAATTCAAATCACTCAAATGACAAAAAAGAAAAAGAAAAAGAAAGAAAGAAAGAAAGAAAGAAAGAAAGAAAGAAAGAAAGAAAGAAAGAAAAAAAAAAGATGGACGAAAAAAAGAGAATCCTTACCTGAGTGTTGGAAAGAGCTGAATCTAGTTTTCCCATGAGTTGCAATGTTGCTACTGCACAATAACTGCTTCCACCATGTGACTCTAGGTAAATACCTTGACCCATAGCACCTTCGTAACTCTGGGAGAGGGAGAGGGAGAGGGAGTGAGAGAGAGAGAGTGAAAGAAAGACCAAAAACAAGATTATTTATTTGCTCTGAATGAATATGGCTTTCTTTCTGAAAATGTAATTTTGGATATGCTTTGAATTATTATAATTTCTGTCTTTGATCATATTTTTTTTATAGAAAACAAATATTGTAACATATTATAAACATATCCTTACCATGCTATTAACTATGTACTTTACGGCAGCATCTATATTGATAGCAGAAAAATCCTGTAGAATATAGCAGATTGTGGCAGCACAGTACATAAATCGCATGTCATTTTCACTTCCACCCAAAGTTGAGAAAAAGCTGGAAAAAATAATATCTTACATAAATATATGAACTAGTAAAACGGCTAATAAAAAAAAGTAAAACCAATAATTTGAAATCAAGTGGAATACTACCACAAACATTGGACATGGCACCAATGAATTGTGAAGTTGCCATCTTAACCCATTCACCACGGATTTATGTTCTGTCCCCTGTTGGTTTTGGTGAATTTTGCTACCTACAGATGGCTCCACATGTACTCAGCCGGCAAGGAGTCTATCAGTAGGCCCTAGTTACCGACCCTGATTTTCCCATTCATTGAATAGGCGGGAAAATTAATATCATTGCTTTCGATGCTGTTATTATTGTTACTGATGTTATGATGATTGAATTGTCATTAGAATATTTTTGACAATAAGATGATACAAAAAACCCTTTCCGAAAGTGAAGGAAAAGGCTAAACAGGTGAAATAGGTAGTTCTTGATAACTGGCTATTTGGTGATTAAGAACTTGTAGAGCCATATAGGTGTAAATACAATAAATAAACGTGTATCAAAGTGGGTATGGCATCTATTCTTGCCAACCGCGGCGAATGGGTTAATTCCCATATTCTTCAAGCAAACTCCTTACTGCTCATTGCTCCCATCGGGAAAATTTGCCACAATTAAGACATCTTCCTCCAATTAACCCAACGTCAGCAGGTTTATGTACTGTTCACTTTAGATTTTAGTGCGTTTTGTTACATACAGATGGCTCCATGTGTGCTCAGCCAGCAAGGAGTCTATCAGTTAGCCCTAGTGACTGATCCTTTCCCCATTCCTTGAATTGGTGGCAAAATGTGTTTTTCTTTCCAATACTATTATTGATGTAAAGATTATTAAATTGTTATCAAAATATTAATAACATCAAAGACAAATAAAATAATAGAAATGAAGCTTTCAAAAAATGAAGGAAAATAGTAAACAGATGAGATAGATAAGACTTACAGCTGACTCGTCGGTGACTAAGCACTTGTAGAACAGTGGGCACGGCATTGTAGTCTTGCCACCCACTGACATTGAGTTACTGCCTACCATCCAAGTAATGTGATCATCCAGGCATGAAAAATTTGGTTGAGGGCTGGGTGACATAAATATGCCATTGTGGAAAATTGGCTGAAGGCTGGGGTGACAGAATGACTTGCCACAAGTGCACAAAGGTCTTGGGAGGTCATTAGACTCAGTGGCCATTTAGCTAGGGGCTCTTACATTACTCCTATTGGTAAACAAGTGAGGAGACTAACAACTGCCTCATGCTTTATGAAAAAGACATTATATAGAGAGAATACAGCATTAGTAAACATGCTAATAAAGAAAAATGCCCCTCAAAAATGTCTTAACCCAATCACCATGGATTTATGTAATGTACCTTGTAAGTTTTTATGAATTTTGGTATATACAGATGACTCTACATGTGCTCAGCCAGCAAAGAGTCTATCAGTAGACCCTAGTGACTGCTCCTGATTTCCCCTCTCCTTGATATTGCAGGAAAATGTGTTTTTCTTTCTAATGCTAGTGATATTGATACTGTTATTATTCACAATAATATTGTGATTAAATTGTTATCAAAATCTTAGTAACATTAAAGACAATGAAATAATACAAAAGACATTTTCCTGAAATCAAGAATAAGGGTAAACAGGTGAGACAGGTAGGACTAATAACTGACTCCTTGGTAACTAAGCACTTGTAGAGCCACCTATATGTAAATACAATAAATAAAATTAAATCATGGTCGGCATGTCATATATTCTTGCTATCTGTGCTGACTGGGTTAACTGACAAGTAATATTCATAACACCCACCTTACAGAACAACTCTCGTTCTTTCTGAACAAAATAAAACTAGCTCCTCAACTTACCTGCCATCCTCACACTGCAGAGCTGCAACATGTGCGAGGAGAGCTTCCCTGTTAACCCGACTCAGGTCATCACCAAGGATGACTAGGGATGCTAGCGCTGTGTAGGTCATGGTGATGTGACCACAGTCAAAGGAGGAAATGTTCGAGAGGTACTTGTTTGATGACCTACAGCTGGCAAGGGACGAACCGCCGCGAAATCCTGCTCTTGACATTTGGTCTGAAATGCCGACAAAAGTAACTTTCTTAGTCTAAAACATATCTGCAAGACCTAAGGATGATCAGTGTCATGTCTCATTGATGTAACTTAACAAATAATATCCTGACCTTTAAAATTTGAGGAAAACTGTGTCACAAATGGTAGACAAGCAAAGCTGTCTCATTTTTATATGGAGTTTGAACATACTGTCAGAATATCTTTTAAAATTGAAAAAAACAACAACATCATTATGGGGCTCTTGAAATACCAGAAATGATTGATGTTACTCAATAAACAAAATATTTATGATTTTTCATAATTAAAACTGTGTTTCAAATGGCCTAGGAGCAAAGTTCAACCTCCTCTATAAAAAAGTTTCAACATACAGACAAAATAATAAAAATCATCATCATAGTGACTCTCAGAACAAATATAATGGACATAAATAAATGAATAAGAATGATATAACCTTTTAAATTTGGGAAAACTAACATAAGTGGCATAGAAGCAAAATTTATCCTCATTTATAAAAGAAAATTGATTACACAGACAAAATATCTTAAAACATATTAAAACAGACAGTGGTGACTCTGAGAATAATTAAGTTATTGATGTTATTGGTAAAAATTAAAAAAAAGTGGGCAAACCTGGACTTCAGCTATCATGAAACTTGACACCTTGCCTATTTTATCTTATGATTTATCCCACTGAGATACGAGAAAACTATTTTTTAAAAATTAATTTTAGAGATAACATCACAAGGCATAAATTAAAAGAAAAAGAAAGAAAAACTTTATATGCTAACACAAAGAAAAATAGACTAGAAATGTGGATAAATTTAGGAATGTTTAAGTCAACTTTAAGCAACCATTAGCAAAAAAATACTGTTTATGCTATATGCTTTAGTTTTCTTGTAGGTAATCTCTCACAGCATGGTTCATCAAAATAAGAACTCCTCTTCAAAGTAATAGCATAGTTTATGCTCATATTTCATAAGTATATAAAAAATAATTACATCTATCAATCATTTGAAACATTTTCTACATGATATGGCTGAACAACTGTACAAGTCTGCTTGCATACTGATTAAATAAATTCTTAATTTTGGCACCAAAGTATTGGTTAAGCATCAGTATTCCCACATTTTGTAGCCTAGTTGGCATACGACTTTTTATATAAAAAAATAAAGCACCCATTAACAATAAATAACATCTAAATTACAAAAAATATGATTATTTATAGAATATGAATGCTTCCTGATCGAACAAGAGAGAAGAAATTTCTATAAACAAGGACTGTATTTGTTCTCCAGACTGATAACTTGATAACTCAAAGAATTTAAGCTGCTATATCAATTTCAGTTTGAAGGAAACTGTGTGTTACCAGATGTGGAGTAAAGGGGAATTTTTATTAAAAAAAAGAAAAGAAGAAAAAGAAGAAGAAGAAAAAATAAAAAAACATGGGAAAAAGGGGAGTAATGAACTTTTCCATAATAAATGCCGTATCTTCATACTCTCACTAAAAAGGGAAAGACATTTCTTTGCAGAATCCAGCCTTTTCTATTCACAGTTCTATGAGTCTTTAAATTAAAAGTAACACTAATCACCACATCTTACCTTTATCTTCTGGTAATATTTGTAAGGAATATATCCAGTCAATGATATGCTTTCTCTCTGCATCATCTATCTCATCCAGTGCGTTTAACAGATCAAGGCCGGACAGTGTGAAGAACAACACGGTCATACTGAAAAAGACATTATAAGAGGTAGAATCAGACATAGTAGGGATGGCCTGGCCAGTTAGTGAAGATACTGTTTCATACTGAGCCTAATAACCTATGCATATCATGCCCTAAACACAGACAGAGCACAACCAGAATAAGTGGAAAACTCAAACTCAAACTTCTGGAAACTGATCAGGCTTTGAGACATATGATTTAAATTTCACTTGAGGGATCTTCAAATTTTAACTAAATGTCACAGTGAATCCTGAGACCTCACTTCTATGATGCCATGTTTGTTTAAATGGGCATTATGTTTGCTGAATTTGAGGCTTTCCGCAAGCATCATTTGCGATTGGAACACTTCCCAGATGAAGACAGTTGGGACTGTTTCCATCTTGATCTTGTGCTATGGATGTTCTATACAAATAGAATATCTTTTATTGATAAACAATATAGAAAGTTAATGTAAACAAGAATAAATATTCTACAATATCAATATATATAATATACCAAATTAGATTTCTTTAAAATAATGTGATATGTAATAAAATGTTCAGATGGTGTCATGTTTGTTTAAATGAGCACTATGTTTGCTCCCTCAGTAGTGTGATAGCGTCAGTTAATTTGTATGTGGAAGATTCATATGAATATTAAAGAATTGAGGCAAAAAGTGCTAGTATTAGGGCTTTTATGTGGTGTGTATGAACAAATGGTGTATGTGATGTGGTGTGTGCAATGCAACATGTTTGTTGTGGTGTAATTATAGGTCTGAAATGGTGGGTGTGATATTCTATAGTTTAAATAATGGTATTTAATTTCTAAATGCTGAACTTGAACTGAAAGAATATTTCAGTTGTTTTAAATCAATCACAAATATCTGAATGTTGGAGGTTCTTGTTTTGCAAAAATGGTCTTCCCTCATCCTTCCCTGAAGCAAATTACACTCATTTCTTTATACTTATTCGTTAATCCCTCAATGACGGAATCAGAAATTTCTCGGTGTCACTGACTCGCTTCTGGTAACTGTCTTGCCGTTTGGGCTGGGTGTCCACTACATGTAGCGGAACTTTCCACTTGGCATGCTCTAGCACACTGTGAAGTTGGTTTATTATGACAGCTATAGGCATAGCCCGGCAGATACAGGTTAAGAAAAATATTTGCATATTCATGAACTGTCTGTGAATAGAATTTGTCATGATCTATTTTCTTCAATTCTGATATTATTCTTTGCTCACACATTGTATGATGTATCACAGTGTAGTGTTTTACTCTCTCTTTATGACAGCGTTATTGTGTAAAAGTATACCAAAGTATTATGTACATATTGCAGAACTTTCTTATTATCAGCTAGTGAAGGAAATGTCATAGACGAAAATTATGGTATAGTTTCAGTTTCACACACCCATAAGGCACAGGGTAAATTCTGCCTGAAATAGATATGAGACAATTTTAGTCCATGCTTTTTACTTCCCAAGTTGATAATGAGAAAGTTGTACAACACATAATACTTTGGCATACACCATCTAAAAAATCGAATGACATTATCAGAAAGAAAGGGAAAAACTACACTCACTGATACATGAAATAATCTACTCAGGATATAC